CATGGTCAGGAACTGCCGTTAGTCTTCGTACCCATTTCTTCCGTACCCGTTTCGACCCCCCAGACCATAGAAAAGCTAACTGGTCGTTGACCAGGCTACCCAGGACAAGTGTCGTGGTAACAATTCGACGACAGATGCCAGGAGGCGGATAAGAGGGAGGGGGAGGGGGACGAATAGACCCTCAGGAAGAGGCAGGCCCTGGAGGAGCAGGAGGAGGGCGAGGTCGACGCTGTTGGGGGCATCACGGGGCGTCGTCGAGGCCCTGGAGCCGGCCCAAGAGGCCAAAAGGGCGGGCCTGGGGCGCTTTGATGTTCTGTGTCTTCGCCAGGTCTTGGGGTCTTCGCGGGGCGCAATGGAAACCCTGGGGCCCTGGTGCGATGTGATATTCTCGCCTTTTCGGCCGCAAGAACGTCAAAATTGCCCGAGGAGCCCCGAAGACCGGCCCAAGATGGCCATAGAGGCCTCCAAGAGTGGCTCACGAGGCCCCCAAGACGGCCCCAACACTGGCAAACAAACATGCGCCACCACCGCGCCGCTGGAAGTCAACCCCGCCAACCTCTCCAACGTGATCCCAAGAGCCGCAGGAGGACCAAGACGGACCCGAGTGTGCCCAAGAAGGCGCCCCAAGAGCCCCCAAAATGCCACCAAGGCTTTCGGCACACGACCCCAGGTGTGGAGGTACGATGGGTCCCAGGCCATGGGATTTCCGCCCTCGCATCAAAGCCCCCACAGCCCCTTGCCCCCGTGTCCCCTTGTGCCTCTTGTGCCCAACCTTTTCTATTGCAGGGTCGGCGGAACCAGCCGCAAGGCTCCTGCTACACGAGGAGCGGGAGGAGGGGAGGGGGAGCGATGGGGAGGAGGGGGAGGAGGTTGGAGGGGGGAGGAGGGTATGGGGAGGTTGGATGGGAGAGGGAGGGAGGGGGAGGGAGGGGGAGGAGGGGAGAGGGAGGCTGGAGGGGGCATGGAGGAGGAGCGGGCCCTCGGAAGGAGGGAGGGCGAGGATGACGAATAGGAGGAGGGGACGGCGACGAGGGGGGGGAAGGTGGCAAGGAACCGGGGAGGCAGGGGAGTAGGAGGAGGCGGGGGAGGGGGACGAGGAGCATGAGGAAGATGATTTCTGTGACGTGGAGGGCGGGGACACCCCACCCACCCCGCTCCTCCTCGTCCTCCCCCCTCCCCGCTTGTCCTTGCTCTCTCCCAGGCCTTCCTCCTCGTCCTCCTCCCCACTCTCTGTCTCTCTCTCTCTCTCTCTCCGCCCCTGCCCCCTCCCCTCCTCCGTCCCTCCCCTCCTCGCCGCACCGCCAGACGTGTCGGCAGGGCGGGCCGGGCGTACCGCCCGAGACGTCCCCAGCGCCTGCGGCCCAGAAACTTGACTGGTTCAGCAGCTACACCGGCGGGGGTCACCGTGCTCACAGTGTGGTTTCTCGCCCGGGTACCGCGCAGCCTCGTCTGAAACGTGCCCGGCAACGACAAGAACGGAGGGCGGCTGGCTCTCAAAAACTGGCCTCTCGCCTTGGCGCCGCGAGCATCCGCTTCCCCCCAACATGGAAAAGGATGGAGAGCATCTCCTGCTCAAAACGGGAATGTCGCTTATAACTCCTCAAACTTTCAAGGCCAGGAGTTTGAGCCTATGCGATACAAATGGATGCTTCTCTTGTTTGTTGCTTCTCTCTCTCTCTCTTTCTCTAGTGCGTTGTCTTTTATTTGTTTCTCTCTCTCTCTCTCTCTATCTCTCCACCCCTGACTTTGCATTGAACTAACTGGCCCTACCTCTTCCCGTGCGTCGAAATAGAAGTGCGCAGGCAACCATTATGTGTTAACGGGGCCCTCAGCTGAAAGGCATGACCATGTGCGTTCGACTTTTAAGGGGGCGATGTCTGCAGCGGATACGAATGGGTTCTGGAACTTATCAGGAGGGACATTGAGAGAGAGGGTGAATCGCAACATCGCTGAGGCATGCTGGGAGTGGTGCGGTCCTCGTCCTCACCCAACCCGATGACACGTCTACTCCACGATCATAGTTTCACCCCCCACCTCCTCCTTCCATTGGGTAACTCAATGTAATTTGCTTCATTTTCTCCAACGTCCCCAGGCGACGGGAGATCATCAACGCATGTTCTTGGAACGTCGAGTGTTTAACAGACGCGATAGTACAACACATTTGCATGTACATGGAGGCGAATTCGATCGATGTCACTGTCCTGCAAGAGACCCGGCGGATGAACACCGATACGTTTGGGTGGGAACGATATTTCCTTGGAGATGTTGTTTCGGGCGCGAGGCGCAAATCCCAGTAGATGCCCCAAATCGCGACATGCTGATGGAGCTCTGTTCTGGCCGCGGCTACGCGGTGGCGAACACGTTCATGGCCAACGACATCGATAAGCGGGTCACGTTCTGCGAGCCACATTCGCACCAAACGGCAGAGATTTCGGAGAAGAACTTTGCTATGCTGGATTTGGTGCTTGCTCCACTTGCTGCTTTGGACGGGGTGCTCGCTGTGCAGAGCGACAGGCTCACGGGCTTCTCGTCGCACCACTTCCCAGTGCACGCACGGCTTGCTTTCCCCAGAGGCAGCCCGAGAAGTCTCGGCGCACACACAGCCGCCTAATCTTGCTTTATTGGAACAGCCAGACGTCAAGAGAGCTTCTTCTCCACCCGCTGACGGAGAAGCATTACGACGGCAATGGCGCCTCCTCGGGCAACAACGGTTGGAACAAGTTTCAGGTCAACGTCCTGGACACCATGGCTCGCTTGCCGCGGCGCCGCGGACAAAACACAGGCCGTGGATCAGCGAGGAACACCCTGAAGCTCATCAACCAACGCTCAGAATTGCGATCTCGTGGAGACTGGAGGGCGAGAAGACAATTGCCAAAGATATCAAAAAGTCGGCACGCCGAGACCGGGCGTCTTGGCTTCAGAATCTTGCCGCCGACGGCTCCTGGGATTCGCTTCGCCAGGCTGAGACGAGGGAGGCGCACCCAGCAGACGCGATTGCAACGCCATACTGGGAAGCAGTTAGCACTGAAGAACGAGCAGGGGCATTCGCTGATTTCTTGGAGCAAATACAGTGGAAAGTTCGCCACGTGACCGCTTTGCCAGAGTTTTCCGAGCATGCCCAGCCGCAGTTGGACATTGTCGAGACTGATTTCACGCACAAGGAACTGCGAAGGGCCATCGTGCGCATGTCACCTGGCCAGAGCGTGAAAGAGAACGACATCCCCATTGAAATCTACAAAATGTTGGCTTCGGCGGATGGCCACTGTCTACAACCTCTTTTGGACGTCATGAATGCGTGTTTGTCTTCAGAAACAATTCCAGACGACTGGGTGGCGGCGCGGGTGTCCATGATCTTCAAGAAGAAGGGCCTTCTTGCATGGACAACTACAGGCCGATTTGCTTAACGTCAGTTGCTTACTGGCTGTTCGCTAGCATGTTGAAGCAGCGCTTCCTAGATGCTGGGCTGGACAGCCGCATCTGGCCATCGCAATACGGTTTTCGTTCCAAGCGCTGCACAGAGGACGCCATCTTCATAGCCAGGAGACACCTTGAACTCGCACACGCACAGCGCTACGGGTCGGTATCTTTCCTGGCACTTGACTGGCGGAAGGCTTTCGACAGCGTGCACACTGAGCGCCTGCTGCATGCGCTCGCGCGTTTCGGGATCACGCCCAAGCGCGTGCGCATCATCCGCTACATCATGACGAACAGGCGTTTCTTTGTGGAGGATTTCGGTATCAAGTCGGACGAGCGGCCGCAGCGGTCGGGGGTATCGCAGGGATGCACATTAAGCCCTTTGCTGTTCATCACATTAATGACGGCCTTAATGCAGGATGCAGTCGCCATGCTTCTGGAGCCAGCGGCACAGGCATATCGACAGAAGCGACTAGCCGATATTGCTTTCGCAGACGACACGCTGCTGTTGGGCGCGGCAGCAGAACATGTCCAGCAGTTCGCAGAGGCAGTAGAGCGGGCGGGCGCATGCGCCTCGAGCTGAGCATTTCGACAATTCCAGCTGTTACAGGCGAACTCATGCAAACCGGTCGTCTTCCGGGGGAAGGCCATACCGAGTGAGGACAGTATCGTGTATCTCGGCTCTTCGTTGTCGGCAGATGGCAAAATGGGCCGAGAGCTTGGCCGCCAGATTGGGGCGGCAGCTGCAGAATTCTGGGTGCTCCAGAAAAGTTTGGAAGCATTCCTCTCTGCCGCTCAGACGGCGCTTGCAGGTGTACAGTCCCTGGTCGAATCCAAGCTGCTGTACGCGCTGCCAGCAGGATGCTTCACGAAGGCGGAACTCCGCAGACTCGATGGATTCCAAGCCAAATGCTTAAGACGTGTCTTACACATTCAGCCATCTTTCGTTTCCAAGGATATCCAACGCCACTGTATTACAACGCGCGGGCTTCGAGCAGCCTCCGTGCAAGTGCGACGCAGACAGCTACTGTTATTGGGCCGTGTCTTACGCGAGCCGGAGCATTCGGACATGCGAGAGGTCACGTTCATGCCGGGCCTCCCTTTCCTCCCCGCCACCGACAGGTACGTCCGCCGAGTTGGGGCACCCAGGAAAGAATGGGTTCGAAGTGTTCTGCCCGACGCAATCCGCTTGGCCGGGGACAGTTTCCGACTTCAAGATGCAGTGAGTGACGCCTCCATGTGGCGCCAAAGAGTGCGCTATGTATGTTTGCATAATTGATCTGCCAGTATGCACGCCCATGGGCTGCCACAGCCTACAGCACGAACGGACGAACGAGCCTCGTCCTTCCCCTCCCCTCGCCCCCATCCTCAACCTTCCCACTCCTCCGCCAGAAATGAAACTTGGCTGGCTTTGTGGAAGAGAGGAGTGATGAGGAAACGTTGAACCAAAAGGAGCATGGTAGATATCTTCACCATCTTCGCAAATCCGGCTTCATCGGGGATGGGTGGGAGCCCAGCCCCCCCCCTGCCAGCCCCCCCCCTAACTCCACGCCGCACTTCGCCGAACCCTTCAAGTTCCGCCCCTCCTTGGCCACCGCGATCTCCGCCTTCAGGGGGATGGGGGGGGGCGGGGGCAACGAGTAGGAGGAGCAAGAGGACTCCAAACACCAACGCCCTGGGGTCCCGACCCTGCCTCACCTTGGAAGCAAAAGGCCCAACGATCGCAGCGGCCGCCCCTGCAAATGCAAAACATCAAACGGAGCATGTGCGCAGACTGCTTTAGCATACGAGCAATGCATGCGTGGATGTGTTCGGTTTCCGCAAGCGGATCATTCAGAACCCCCCCATTCGGAGAAACGGGTGTGTTAACGGGACATGCCGTTCTGAAGCATGCGCAGCACCCGGCTAGAACAGATGGGGTCGATTTCGGGGTGGCAAGCCAGAGGCGATGATCCACGCTTCTACCCCAAAGGAGCTCTCCTTCATAAGCATGCGACAGCCCCCGACAAAACCATGGCGTTCACCAGTCTTGTCTTGACGACGTTTGCTCAGCCTGGCTTAGCTGTTCTCTTGACGGGGTCCCCCCCCCGCAAAGTGCAAGGACAAAAGTGAATCCGAATCGAGTCCGCTATCGCGTTTGCAGCGGTTGGTGTACGCAGGGCCTGCGTGTCCGTTGACCACTCTATATCCAACATAATAACGGGCCCCCCCCCCCCCCCAAACTCCTCGACCCCTCGAACCCCAAATTGGTTAGATGTTTGGTCGTTCCCCTTGTACTCTCAACCAGAAAACGACGCCAAATCAAGGGTTCGGGCGTGGGCCCCCGTGGCACGTCCTCCAAGGCAGTCAGAGGACCTCCAAATCCCCGCGGGGGCTGAAAAGGATGGAAGAGGAGGAGAGGGAGGAGGAGGGAAATCAACAACACTCGCCACAAGAATCCAGTGTCCGGCAAAAGTGGAACAGGATGGTGATGTTCACGTACCGGTATCATCGCACATGAATTGTATGTCAGACGTGCTTTCTGTGATCCGTGAAGCTATCAGTAACTGTATGCAAGAGATTAAAAGAAAGGAGGGATGGCGACGACACCGACGACGATTCGCAGCCGTTGCCCTCGCGCGTCGGCGGGCCCGCGGTGCCCGCAAGAGGCGCTCATCCAATGCACTCTAGATAGCTGCGGGCGGCGGCGGCAAGGAGCGAGCAGGGACAGAATAGTAACAACTCCACCAGCGGCGGGACGCGTAGGTCCGCGTTTCGAACCCACCCCAGCATGGGGAAGATTGGGAACTCGCTGACGTCTGAAGAATCGCGTTCCGGGGCGGCTTCCTGGGAACATGATTTGTTGAGGTGTCGCTGGGCGCCTCCGGAGGCTTCGGGGCCTGGCGCGCTTCCGACAGGTAGCGCTGCTTGGGGCTCTCGTTTTTTAACTTCCTGGCGAGCGTTTAGGAAACATGGTTTGGGCAGATGGCGGCAATCCGAGAGTCATGTTCCCGGGGGGCTGTCCAGGGGCGTGATTTGTTCGGCTCTCTTAAGAAGGGGGGCTTCTGGGGGTTTGCCGAGAGGCCCCTTTCGGCCATGTCGGCATGACCATTGGCAACACGGCTGGGGCGGCGGCGGAAAGCTGTCTGGGAAATACGATTTACCGAAGTTTCTTGGGGGCCCACAGGAGGCTCCCCTGGGGGCCCCTTGGGGGTCTATTGGGGTTTCTGGGGGTCCTCCTGGGAGCCTCGCGGGGTTTCTTGGGAGCCTTTTCCCCAAGAGCGCGCTCACGGAGCGCATCTTTGCAGGGCGTTCCAATGACTGCGAGCATCGCATGCAGGGTTCCTGTCCCGGATGGCCTCGACGGCGGGGCCCCGTCATCGCCGCCCCCCCGGCTGAGCCGGTAGCAAAGGGATTCGGGGGCTCACCGCCACCTGCAGGCTGTTGGGAACTGCCAGCAGGCCCCCGTCCCGTCGGGGCTACACTCGCCCCAGCACTCTGCCCCGCGCCGTCAGTGTGATTTCCATCCGTGGGAACGTCAGCTACGTCGACGTCTCCGACGGCGCTGGCTGAGATCATTCTGAGGGAAATATATTTGGCGAGACTGTCGGCTGCATTCCCGGCTGAACCGGTTACAAAACTCAACGTATTATTGCTTATCCTTTTTGAACCGTCATTGGATGAGGTAGCAGGGTCGACCACGAGAACTAAGTATGCATATATGTTCTTCCTTTTCTCGGGGTCCTCGGCTCGACTCTTCCACCTGGGGGCGCGCTGAGGTAGCTCCTGTCAAAGAGGAACCGCATGCGTGGACCTAACGCGTTTGCCCATGCAGACGCCCCCTCAAAAAAGGTCACAAACAAGCGCAGTGCAAGTGAGGGGCGGCCCAGCAGATCAGCAGGAGCGAGGGAGTCGCGGCCGCCCGGGGGTGGCCAGCTTTGCGGGCTGATAGTCGCTACGACTGCAAGCCCATGGGCCAAGACGACAACGGCGGAGCATGCATGTCGCGAGCGTGGTGACACGCTGCAACAAGTCTGCCAGGCACGCACAATAACAATCGGCATCTGTTTCACGAAGGCATCAGTCAGATTTTCCGACTGCTCACAATTCTTACCCCTAGCTTCAACATGATCGCGCGCTCCATCGCTACATGTTTGCAATCCTTTCGCAACGCCACCAGATGTAGACGCAACTGTCCAAGGCTTCTTCATGGCATTCCCTTGCGCGTCTCCTAGTCCATACGCGAACCCGTGCAATCTGCGCGCGCGACATTGATTAGCACGCAGAACGTCTCGCACTTGCGGGTCCCGCCAGTGCTGATATGCCGAAGGACATTGTATGCAAACTCCCCCATCCCTCCTGCAACGCCACAGTAGCAATATCACGGGCATTCCAAAAAAGTTGTCAGAAGACGGCGTTAATTCTTCTCAGGCGCCTCAATGGTATGTGATCTCCTTGTCGGCAGTGCACGGGTTCGTTCACGCATTGCCACGGTTGCCCTCCAGCGCGTGGAATAAATGCCCAAGGGGAAAAATACGTTTGCCCTTCAACGCCTTGATATTACAGAATGCTTCTTTCCCCTGAATCGGTTGTCATGTCTTCCTCCTTTTACTGCGCTGCGAGTGGCAACTGCGTTGTTGTCGTAGTAGTTGATGAGATTACCAAGATTGCAATGTTCGCTACGACAGAATTTCGCGACGGGTGCGAAGTTTGCTTGTCGGGCCCTGTTTTGACACCATAGCATCACTTGATTCGCCCGCAGCTGAGATGAACAGAAGCAGTCGCATCGTCGGCCTCCGTTGCCGCGGCGCCACTAGATAAACAAGTAGCTGCTGGCGTGGAAAAGGCTAACTTGCCAGTGACTCCCCCCCCCCCCCCCCTTCCCGACGCGCATAAGTTCGTTTTCCTTGCTGGGCACATGGGCGCTACTTCGCGCTGCCGCCACGGGGCCGACAGCTGGCTTGAGAATTCCCCCGGGTGTCAGGGAAGTCTGTCATCGAACGCCAGTGTGACCTATTGATGGTAGCCTTTGGTCTCCTAGAAATTGGGCGAACAATGTGAACCAAGTCGCACAAGCGCCTGACTCCATGCAAGTGCATCAGTGAATCTCCTGGTTCCAACGACACCTGCATATTTTTGGGCGCGGTCATATTGAAGACGCACGGTGCCTCTGCTGAGCTGTTCTGAGTTCTGAAAAGGCTGCGGCATCAATTGGATGCACGCGAAGGAGATTCATCAATTTCTGTGAGTCCCCTGCATCGCTCACTCTGCATACCGCGTGATTGTCCTCCAAGGAAAAACATGTTGCGGCCCGCTGCAGCTGCATTTCCCGCGATGGCAAAGATGTCAACAGTTGCGTTCGCAGAGCCAGGCAGACAGCCACAAGCTTAGCCTCCAACGTGCCGTGGGACACACAAGTCTGGCTTCGGGGGGCCATGCTCTGAGATGCTCTAGCTGGCCCTCGTGCAAAGCCCCCAAATGATCTGGCACTCGTCTTTCTATGGGCACGCGCGTCACGCGCCAGATCTGCGTCGGAATACAAACTGATCTGTACTGTCCACAAGTCGTCCCCGACCCGTGAAACTACGCGGTAATGAAGCGTCGCTTTGGTGTAGAATCTCAGTCTGAACGGGCCGACGTCCCACTGTTTCATCAATTTTGTCACGCAACTCGCAGCATGGCCAACGGCTCGTAACAAGACAAACCCCGCCATTCGAGCCCCATGCAACATGTTCATCAACATTGTCGCCGCAATTTGTTGTAACATTCCAGGAGGTTCGGGCTGCTGCGACATCGCGTGCGATGGCACCACGCGCAAATAGGGGGCCGCGACTTCTTTGTCGTGAGGACCAGCGGTGACGGGAACGCTGAGTGCCTTCGCCGACGCCTCCTCAGTCGGCGGGGCAATTTTGCCTCGGGGACCCCCTTGTCCGTCCCCGAGGCCAGCCAACTCCGGTCCGCAATGCGCCCCCGCCGACGGGCAAGTTTGGAGGCCAGCGCCCTTCAATTGGGCGTCGAGAAGGATGCAAGACTCAAAGAAATCCGCCACATCATTCTCAGTGGCCTGCACCTCCGCGGTTTGTTTGGGCATCTATGGCTCGGGCGGATGTCGGGCATCTTTATGGAATCCCGCGCCATCGCTACCTCCCCCGTTAGAGTCGCCCCACGAATCGTCGACAGAGTCTTCTTCTGTTTTGGCGGCGGCGGATCAAGGAAAGCGGGTGGCCCCCCGCGCAATTCCACGGTTATCCTACAGAGCTTGCGTCCACAACCCAAGCATCGACCAACCCTCGAAGGAGGATCAATCTCAATGCCGTTGGAGCAGCCGGTTGGCGGTTCTCGCATCATTCCCCACCCTGCGTCCATGTTTTTCCGAAGGGCAAGAAATATTGGAATAGTCAACATTTTAAATCAATGGCAATTTCATTTATTGGTGGCACTAACAGCTGCGTCAAGGGCTACGTTTGGTGAAAACATGTGACATGATATGATTATCGCAACGCTGCGCCCAGTAACACAATATTCAGGATGACCACAGGGTGGGGCATCAACGGGAAGACAAGTTTCTTTATGTGCGACCACTAATCTGGCCATTCTTCTCCCGGCAAGGACTATCCAAGTGGGGGTC